CTGTTGGTAGCCTTGTTTTTTTTCCAGTTACCACTGTACACTACACAACCGCAAGCTAAACTTCGTCCAAACTCCAAAGCTTTCTTCCAAAAAACTCTAGAGTAGGCGACTAGAAAGAAGTGCCTTCCCACCTCAGGAGGCTCTGATCTCATTTCTCCCAGATGTTGTCTCCACCCCTGCTCCCCATACACCATTCCCCACCCTGCCCTTATGAATTCTACAGGGGTCTTAGTCTCATGTCCACAGGAATGTAAAGAGCCATTTACAAATTCTTAAGCATGAAATGCCCTTCGGAAGGGAGTCTGAACAGACCAACATTGTTTTAATGATAATTCCATTATGCCAACGAAGACAAGAAGTTTCTACCCTGAGGTAAAAGAGTGGATTTCAATATCATACTTTTGGGTGGGTTTTTTTTTTTTTTTTTTTTTTAAACTCATTACCTGACAAGTTGAGTGATCTTGGGTAAATCACTTGGCCTTTCTGATTCTGGTTTTCCATCAGTATACTGAGGTTAACAAAGTAAATTTTAGAGTTGAATGAGAAACACTAAAACCAAAGTACCTGACTGGTACTCACTAAAAAGAAAGAAGAAAGGGTCTTCTTTGTCTTTCTTTCCCCCTAACTTCACCCAAAGTTATTTTTCTGTGAGGAATACAACTACAAAAGGATTCACCATTCTCAGGCCACTTAAAATAATGTATCCTTCCCATAGGAAATGTTTTCTAAGTTGCCTGTTTTGCAGTGTGTTACATAGTCCTAAGGGACAATCATATTACCCTTAGACAAAACTGCTCAGTGAATTGCTCATGGTCATCTGTATTTAGGTTATTTGGAGTTTAATAGTTAAGTATGGTCTTTTCTTACTTATCAATCACACAAAACCACACATAACAGAACATCCCCCCCCAAAAAAAAAAACTAACTAACAAAAAAGCCAGCCTTTATTAATTTGTCTGGTCAATTTCAGACCACATAGTTTTCCTAGGCATAATCTGTCAAACTCACACTGGTCATATTTCAGCTCTTTTCCAAAGCCTCTACAGTGCTCACAAACTCCTGGAGGTTTTTGAAACTAACAGGATTTTAGAAAAGTTGTCCTTCCAATAATGTGGAGAGTGAGAAAGTACAACTCAAAGAAGTTGCTTTATCCTAAGCTAGGTTCTGGGCCTGGGAACACAGTAGTCTGATTCTTGTCCTTCCTGGAGCATCTCTGGAAGTGACTGGAGGAAGCAGAACCAGAGGCCTTCTGTAGCTCAGCTCATGTTCAAGGCTGAATCCAAGATAACCCTAGACATTGTGTCTGGGTGGACAGGTCAAGTAAAGGAGAAAAGCATTACCAAGCCTCTGTCCTCCCTTCCCCCATAAATCTTCCTTGGTTTATTAAGGGAGGTCTTAATGAACCCTTAACCCCAGTCACAGCTGTGGAGTCAGGCCAGTACTGGATTGGAGATGGGTTAGAGCAGGGAAGGAGAAAAGGCACCAGAATTTAGCTTCCTGGAATTGACTGGTAACAAGAAGTAGGACACAGACTTGGGTGACTGGCATTCTAAAGTACAATGCAATTAAGCTAGCTAGAAGTTAGAGTCACATAATGGGCTACCTCACTTTCCACTACTTTAAGACAGCCTTTTAGATACAGAGCTAGTTAAAGGTTATCATTGGAATAAAACCAGACACCAAGAGAGTTAAGGGGACCAGACAGCAAACCTTACATCACAGTTTCAATACAGAGCTTGTATTGTGCATTATACACCTCTAATTATGAAGACATATTTCTGTAGGTAATGCACAATATTACAAAGGAAGTTCATAGTATATTCTTTACGTGCACTTTGAAGTATTAGTGTAAATTTAATTACAGATCAAAGCATAATGTTGGGCATATTACAATGGGTCAATAAATGTTCCATGACATGCTTCTACCACCCAGATTTGGCTCTTTTGTTTATATGGACAAAAAAACCAAAAACAAATAAAAACCGAACTCACTGCCATCGAATTGATTCAGACTCACAGCAACCCCCCTTTGGGTTTCTGAGGCTGTAAATCTTTCTGGAAGTAGGTTGCCTGGTCTTCCTTCAGCAGAGTGGCTGGTGGGTTTGAACCAACAACCTTTTGGTTGGCAGTCAAATGCCTTAGGCACTACATCACCAGAACTCCTTCAGATAGACAAGGACCTTATAATTAACTTTTAAAAAGTGTCTGTCAAATTAGCACTGCAGATCATTCAGTACAATCACCTCATTTAGAAAAAAAGTAAAAACCCAGGCCAGAATCCAAGAATCTTTCCAGTGCCCCAGAGCTAGTTAATTTAAAAGAACAATCTGGTTATGGAGTCTGCTGTTCTTCCATCATACTGAGTGATGTTCTTGCAGATAGGCAGGAAGAACAACTTTATCTTAATTTTACTTCTGTGTATGACACACAACTTTTGTGTAAACACCAATGTAAGTAGAAGAAAATGTCATGTCCAGATAGGACCCTTGGAGACAGCCTTTGAAATAAAGGGCCATGCATACCTTGGTACTACCGAATTTGTGTGATGTTGAAAAAGCCTGACTGATTTCTACAAATCCTGGAGGCAATATTACCAACCACTCCCACTCCCATCCCCACATGCAATTTGCCACCTCAAAGCTACCCCAGGGCCTCAGACACTCTCTGCAGTTGCATCTGGGTGTTCTCTGTGGACCTGCAACGGCCAGTGCCAGAAAGACCTCAATCCAACACGCAACACTCATTCACGCATGGAGTCGGCCCTTTCAATCTAACCTAATCTGATGACTCCGCATTGCCCGCTCTTCCCTCAGCCCTTTGGGTGGTTTAATCCAGCCAAGAACCACTAGAATGACCCTCAGCACTTCTTGGAAGCTACGTCATGAAGAGATGGCGCGCCTGTGCCTGCAACAGCCTTCAAGTCCCTGAGATGTTGCACTTGTAGGTTGTAATAGCTGGGGAGGCAACAGGGCTACTCATTAGAAGAGAAGCTAACCTTAGCTTGTTTGTACATAGGTGGCTGCGCACAAGGTCTGGAAAGAGATCTCTTTGAACGAAAAATTGACTGGAATTTTGTCTTCCCTTAATCGGACGTCCGGAAGTGCCAGGATGGGTATGGGATGTTAGGGTAAGATCTCTGCAGTCCGGTGAGAAACTATGGATTGTCTTTGAGTTGTGATCGCCAGCGGCCATTCCCAGACTAGAGAGGTGTTCCGCGGGCCCCGGCCTTATGCCAAAGGGCCAGTATCGGACCAGCGCTGCTGGTTATATTACGCACAGTACAGGCCCGCCTCTGTCCCAACAGAGCTAGTGCGGTGTGAATGCGGGGTGTGGTTGGCGAGAACACAACTCTGTCGCGGATTAGAAAAAAAAAAAAAGTGCAAATTGTCTCCTCCGTACTTTACTCTCTTTAGTTCACCTTCTAGCCCCAACCCCAATCTCTACCCTTTGAAACACAGTTCAAGAACATCTCTCCGAGCCTAGAGTTCGGAACCGCGGTCTCGAGTAATTCCTTCCTCTCAGCTTGGGGTCCTGGGGGGGCGGGGAATACCACCGGATCCACGTGTGTGGTCTCCAGACTCAGCTGCCCTCTTTATTCGCGGCCCCCAGCCGGCACCCCGCGCTGCTGCAGCTCGGGCGGTAGCCGGGGATCGCAGCACGAGGGAACGAGTTGATGAGCGCGCTTTCCCGGGGCGCGCGCTGCCCGCGTCCCTGCTCGAGCGCGCTCTTGCAGCGAGCCCCGGGCGCAGAGCCCGGCAAACACCAAGCGTCCTGCGTGGCTGCTAGGACTCCTAGCTAACGCACAGCGGCGGTTTTGCCAGGAGTAGAGTTTGAAATCGTGTTGTGTTTCTCCTCCCGCTTCTTTGTTGTGCCAATATTTTCTTTTATCTGCAAAGGCATTGATTCTCTGTTGCACTCTGCATGCCTTTCCCGTGTTTTCCTTTTTGTAAGTACAGAACGTTTTTCTTGTAACTATTTCCTCAACTGATACACTTTAGGGTGTGGTTGGCCCATAAAAAAGAGCAATCACTGCATTTAGTGGCGTCAACTGGCTACTAAGGGGGAAGAGAGAAAAAACCCCAGCCTTGATTTTCCTTCTTGTTACTACGGAACTCAGAGTTTGTAACAGGCCCCTAGAAACTCAGAGGTAGGGTGAGGTGCGGGTGGAAATTCCAACTAAGAAGGTACTACAAGAAAAAGTATAAGTTCTTCAGAAACTAGGGGAAAAGGAATAAAGGGCATGATTGCCAACAGACTGCTAATTACAGACAATTGGCAATCACTTCCTCTTAGTCCTTTCCATTTAGATTAATTGATTGTGTTCTTGCTGTACAATCAGCCATTTGTGATTTCATTTTTTGTCCTATCTTTTTTTTTAAAAGAAAAAAGTTATTTCTGTTTATGAAACAAGATATATTTATTATTTTGAAAAACAGACTGGAACTCTTCATTTCTAATCCTTAACTAATGGTGGTCTGATGGCTTTCTGCCTTCCCCCACCCCCCGTAATTGTATATCTTCCAGAAAAGGAAAATAAAAGATTTTCTACAGTATTTGCAATGAATGAGACGCCAGTACGGTGATGTGGCAGAACTTGAAACTTCACAAATACTTGAAAGCTATCTGTTAAAGTTTGATCAAGGATCACTCAATATGATTAACTTCAAATCTCTAATTTTGGTCAAATCTTGATTTATTAAAGTTGCCAGAAAATGTTAAAAATAAATTGATATGTGATGCATTATTATCTGACTCTATTAGGCTAACAGAATGATATCTGAAAACACTGGATACAATGAATAATATTCATATGAAATATCCATTTGCTTTTTTTTGAACTGCAAGAAAGATGTGTGGTATATAAACATGGGCTTATCATATTCTTTTAATAAGCACAATAAGAAAAGCAGTGACTTATAATAAAAATTCTATGAATGAGATTAAGTTACACATATTAATGTAGTAGCAGAGTAATAGATGATAGAGCAGCTTCCACTTACCAATAGGTGTAAGTCCGTGCTTTGCAGATTCTTGTAAATCCCTGGTATCAGAATTAGAAGACATTCTTAGTGAAATTATAAGCAGTCCTTCGGTTTTCAGCAGAAATCATTGAGGATAAGAAAAAAAGACAGCTTGTCAAATTTTGTAGCCTTGGAGAGGACGCATCAGACTATAGTGACCTTTAGTGAAAGTTAAGAAAAAGTGAAATAAAATAACTCTAAGAATTCAGAAAGTTACAAGCAAGTCTTTCCCTAGACTCTACTTTTTCATGCTGTAAACCATGTATCCAGTTTCATGATGGTTTCTAATCAGAAGAATGGGAACTTTTGATAGGCTTGGATTGATCACATGACTCTATGCAGGTTGATAAGAGGACCCTGTTATAAAGTGACAGCAAAAGAGATAAGAACTCTTGGCAGATAATGGTAAAGAAATGATTAACTCAGAAGTGGAGAGGTGCTATGCAGCACAGAGAGTGGAAAGTTGTAAAACTGTGGGGTCAGAAGATCATACTTAGTGGATAAAACTCCAAACCAGCTTAAATCCACTGGCTAAACTTAGGCTTGTGACATGCCCCCTGATGTCATCACCTCTTTGCATAGAGGAGGACAGACAGCTCTTTTGACCTTTGTAAATACATTTTAGATGATAACATTGGCAGGCATTAATTCTTTAAGTGATGACTGTAAATATGATTGACACTATGAAAGACTACAAGTAGCATTTCTAAGCATATGGTCATTTATTTATGCATGTTTTGGTTAACTAACCTTTTTATTGTACCTACTCATTAGAAGAGAAGCTAACCTTAGCTTGTTTGTACATAGGTCAGTTGGTTAAAAGGGCAGCCCAGCTTTTCATCCCAATAAAGTAAAACTTGTACTTTGAGGTTAATGATGGCAAAATGGTGATTGTGCAATACATTTAAAGTTATTCTTTGCTTGGATCCATACAGAAAATTTGAATCACTGAAGAACTCTGGTAGCGCTGTGGTTAAAGCATTGGGCTTTACCAGAAAGTAGGCAGTTTGAACCTGTCAGCTGCTCCACGGGAGGAAGATGAGGCAATCTACTTTTGTAAAGATTTACAACCTTGGAAACCTGATGGGGGATGGGATTGCTATGAGTTAGAATGGACTCAATGGTAGTGGGTATTCACCATGGTCTATCGAACTGAATCTATGAAAGAAATATCACTCAAATGACTAAAGGTAGTTTTAGATGCTTGTTGAATATCTCCATTATTCTGCAAAGTAATAAAATCTGGATTCTCAAAGCAATATATGCTTTTTTCATAAACTGTGGCATACTTAGTTGGTTTTCTTGTTTGTTTTGATTTTGCTAAGTAAAGTTATAAATATTGCAGCTTGGTAGAAATTACTTCTTGCCCTGCTCATCTGCATAGCCTTCAGCTGCTAGCAATTGCTTTCTACAAGTGATAGGACAAATCAAATTCTGCTCACCATTTACTCTTTCCTCTGGAAATTTTAATTTTTAAAGCTACAGCTTCAGTTGGATTTGACTGATACTAATTTTATTTTTATGTAATATATGTTATCACAGTATCAGATGGTCATAGTAACCCTTTGGAAGTGTTATAAACCATTTCATTATACAATATCATATGTATTTCATATCAAATGTATTTCGTACATTTCATTATACAATATAAAAAATTCTATTCACTAATATCCCTACTGATCTTATCAGAAGTCTTTAACTATTGGGAAGCTGTCAAACTCATGGTGGATATAAATTTTCCAAAATTTGGAATTTCACCTTAAAGTTTGAATTTTTTTCATTGGAAGAAATATCTTCTATATCTTCCTTAAAGTAACAGATCCACCTCACTCTTGTTGGAGAAAGTGCCTCCAAAGTACTCTTGTCTGAATAACCACAGTTTTCCCATCATTCTTCCAAGTACAAATGTTGTTACATGACAAAAGCCACCAAGTCCATTCGCAGCTCAAACTGCTAGCTGCACCAGTGCTTTTCTAAGCATCACTCTTCATATTTTGATTTAACCACTACAGATACTTGAACTTTAAAGAATATGAGCAGTACAATTAAGGGTTAGAGGTGAGTTTTGCTCTGTGGAGCAGCTGGTTGTTAAAGAGCAGTGTGTTAATCAATTTTTACAAACAACATTATTTATCCACTACCCTAGGTGATGTCTTAGTAGTCCTTGAATGGTGCAAAAAGTTAAGTGCTCAACTACTAGACGAAAGGCTACCACTGGTCAAGTTTTAGCCAACCAGAGAAACCTTGGAAGACAGTACTGGTGACCAGCTTCTGAAAGGTTACAGCCTTGAAAACCCCCCTATGGAGCAGTTCTGCTCTGCAGATGTGGTGTTACCATGAGTTGGAATCAACTTGGCAATGAACAACAACAACAAAGTTGATGTCCTTTTCAGAGAACATCACATTATGTGTTTATATATATATATATATATATATATATATATATA